GTCCATTGTAAAGTACAACACTCATTCATGTTCAAAATCCTAGCCATCTATAACAACCCAATGGCTAACATAATTCTAAATGGGGAAAATCTGAAATCATTGATTCTCAGATTTGATACAAGACAAGGATGTCCTTTCTCATGCCCCAGAGTTAAAATAGTTGTGGAATCATTAGCTAGAGCCAATAGACAAGAGAGAGAAATAAAAGGAATAAGAATAGGGAAACAAGAAGTTAAATTATCATTATTTGCAGATGACATGATACTTTACTTGGTAGACACAAAAATCTGTACCAAGAAGCTACTAGAATTGATACACAATTTCAGTAGCAGAGCAGGTTACAAAGTCAATACCAAAAAGTCAATAGCATTCCTCTACACAGAAAACAAAAGCACTGAAAGAGAAATTAGAGAAACTAGCTTATACAATAGCACCACAGAAATGAAATACCTTGGATTCATCTAATTAGAGAAGTTAAAGATGTTTTTAAGGAAAATTACAGTACTCTGAAAACAGTGATCGTAGAGGATTTCACAAAATGGAAAGATATTCCTGCTCCTAGATAGGAACAAACAGATTTGGGAAGATTGCCATACTCCCAAAATTGCTGTACAGATTTAATGCAATCCCTATCAAACTACCACTAACATACCTCACAGATCTAGAGAAATTGTTCTTAAAATTTATTTGGAACAAAGACTTAGAATAGCAAAGGCAATACTGGGCAACAAAGACAAGGCAGGAGGCATTACAATTCCTGACTTGAAATCATATTACAAATCTACTGTTCTAAAATCAGCATGGTATTGGCAACAAAATAGACCTAAGTATCAATGGAATGGATTACAAGATGCAGAGGCTTGTACAAACACACTCAGTCACTTAATCTTTGACAAAGTGGCCAAACATGTGTACTGGAATAAAGATAACCTCTTTAAAAAATGATGCTGGAAAAAATCTTTGTCTACATGCTGAAAACTAAACTTGACCCAGGTCTATCACCATGCACTAAGCTAAAGTCAAAATGGATTAAAGATCTAAACATTAAAGCAGAGACACTAAATCTCCTGGAAGAGAAAGTAGGAGGAGCTCTTGAAGTCATAGGGGTAGGCAAAGAGTTCACAAATAATAATCAAATAGCATGGGTAATACTTGAAAGAATTAACAACTGGGACCTCCTCTCAGTAAGAAGTCTTTCCACATTAAAAGAAAATACCAACAAAGTGAAAAGACAACCCACAAGTTTTGAAAACATCTTGATAAATAAGTACTCAGACAAAGGTCTGCTCTCTAGAATTTATAAAGAACTAAAAAACACTACGGCCCACAAATTTAAAGACCCAACCCAGAAATGGGCATCTGAGAAAGACACAAAAAACTGTACCAAGGATGAAATTAAAGAAGAAAATAGATATATGAAAAAATCCTCCACATCACTAGCCATCTGTGAAAAGCAAATTAAAACAATACTGAGATACCATCTCATCCCACAAAGAATGTCTATCATAAAGAAATCAACCAACAACAAATGTTGGAGAGGCTGTGTGGAAAAAGGAACCTTTCTCCACTGCTGGTGGCAATGTAGAGTGGTGCAATCATTATGGAAATCAGTGTGGAGAATCCTTAAAAAACTAGGACTGGAAATCTCATTTAAACCAGTTTTCCCCTTCTTGGAATTTTCCTAGAGGAACTAAAAATGTTATATCATACTGATATATCTGTACCTATGTTTATAGCTGCACTATTTGTGATAGCCAAATCTTGGAAACAACCAAGATGCCCATCACCTGAGGAACGGATGAAAAAGATGTGGTATTTCTATACAATGGTATTTCTACACAATTACTCAGCTGGAAAGAATGATAAACTCAAAGCTTTCATATTGAAGTGGATGACACTTGAACATATACTCATAAGTGAAATAAACCAGACACACATATGTAAATATCGTATAGTCTCCCTAGGGTAAGAACTCAAAAGAAGAAATGCAAATAGAAAGGTGTAACACACTTAAAAGGAAAGTGAGAATTTGAGGATTTAACAATGAGGAGAGGGCAAGGAGAAAAGCTGGGAAACATGACAGGGGCAAGGCCATACATTTATACACACTAGATGGTTAAGTTAAGGCAATGATCTTGAGAATCTGTAGCATGTTTTTGAACCTAGATGTTAATTGGTAGGATTCTCATCCTGACTAACTATATATGGTGATATCTGTGAACTAAGCAACTGCACTGAAGATAGCAATGTATAATGATAGTGTCATGCTTGGAGTGCATGCCATTCTGGTCTTCTAAATATGTACTGCTTGTCATGACTTATCAAGTACTGCCATACTGTCTTCCAAGTAAATGTTTAAGAAAAAAGGGCAATAAATGAAATCAAGAGACAGGAAAAAAAATGTCACTGGACAGTCCTACAATGTTGTATATGATTAAATTTCTTAATTTCTTGTAAAATTATGCAATTGTTCATTCATATTTTTTCAAACTTTTAAAATTTTTTAAATTTTTGTTGTCATATTCTGCAGGGACTTAAATTTTAACATATCAATACGTGATGGAAAATATCTGTTCCATGTTATGCCTAAGATGTTTGATATTCAGACAGATGATTAAGTTAAATCCAACTGCATATGTTCTAGGGTAATAATAAACTTCTCTGGAGGGTTAACATCCTAAGTTTGCAGACCAAAGATCATAGGGAAAGAAGGGTTTCAAGGACAGCCAACATTTTGGCCCTAGCCTTTCAATGTCAGTGAGGACTCAGGACATAGGAGAACTTATAGTGTAACATTATGCAACTCAGTTGTGTCCAAAATTTTCTGATCAAGGAGATTATGGGGGTCTCAGAGGAATGTGATCAATAATATAGTGTGTGCCTAAGGAGAGTCACATGGAGAGAAAGCATTCACTCAGGCTTTCCCAGAAAGCAAATTGGTCCAGCAATGGCCGTGACTCATCCACATGACTGACACTCACAAAGGATCTAGAAACTGCAGTATAGGGTATCAGGTTAAATCCTGAGGGAATTTGACTGACCTTATCAGATACAGAAATCACATTCCTTGTTACATAAGTATTGCTTTATCTTAGCCTTAACCATCCAGCAGAAAATTATGAAAACAAAGTATAAAAAGTAAAGCCACATTAATATGCTGAGGTATAAAAAGCTCAAGTCAACAACTTTGGACATTGCCATTCTTACAGAAAACTCATTACTATTATGGATTACTGGATTATATTGGGAGATTCTGCTGAATTCAAGCATCTATAATATTTATATGACAATGTAATGCCCTTCTCTGACAAACTTTACCAAAAACGTGGCATAGAAATGAATGACCCTTTTGTATCTTAATACTCAAAATATTTAGGATAGATATACAGCTCCATTGTCTTAATCCAATGAATATAAAGGTTTATTATAATAGTGTTTGAGACAGGATATCATGTCTGCATCTTGTACAATGAATAACCACTAAGACAACAATATGCAATATATTAATTATTGAAAATGTGCCAGTAATCGGTTGTGAAACTGTCTGATTCATGTTTGTTTCTCAATAAAGTATTAAAAATCATTTATTTATTTGGTACAGGGTATTGCTATGCAGCTCGGACTCATAGTGATCTGGCTGTCTCAGCTTATTCAGGGCTGTGATTACAGGTATGCACCAACACACCTGGCAAAATCTTATTTTAAGATGTGGAATAAGAAATTCATTGTGCAGTTGACTTTGCCCTGTAGCTTTTTACTATATGTATAATACAATATATAGATGATATCTTAAATGGTATAGACAGCTCAGAGAAGTGTAATTATAACATGAAACACAAAAGTTGAAGATATCTGATTGTATCATAATACAAATGGAAGCATGTGATTTTTACTATATATTAAAAGGATCATCAATATTAATGAACATCTAATGACTCCTTTTTTATTTATGTCGTCTGAAATTCTAACATTTATTTATAGTACCCTAAGAATGTATAACAATATAGCTTATATAATTTAAATATCTGTTAATGAATTGCTTTTAAGTTAAATTGCTACATCATGAGAGTTTCTGTTTTTTAATATAAAACACTATTATAATTTTCTTAGAAATATCATTTGTTTAATTAGTTGTACTATAATATACTATCAACCAATAGTTAATCACTCCAGTTGCTTTACTTAAATGACATCTATGCAGCTGAATAGTGAAGAATACATAAAAATATGTAATTCAAATAAGCATTTACTTTTCATTATTTAAAAATAATTTATTCATATAATATCTCACATATAACTTATCTTAGATCATCATGCTTTTCTTTTAGCTTGATACATGGTTTGATGTTATTGTATGTTGTTTATAAACAGTACATAGCCTCATAACATCCTACCACACAAAACTGTGCCCAAGACTTTCATAACTGCTTTCTAAGGCCCATAAGGAAGGCAGGAAGAGTGGACAGCCCAACTAATTTATACTGTCTTCCAAAGAGTCAATACCTAGTGAAACAAAGGATATCCCATAACTTTGCCAGTCTCATCCACATTAATTTGACCTCAATAGTATAAGATCAAAAGGGGTAAGGGGCAAAGAGGATATTTCAAAAGATCAGCGTGGACTCCTTATAATGAGAGAAAGAAAATCAATTATGAAGACAATAAGAAGTCGAAATGAATGATTCCAGAGGAGTTAGTTCCATATATAAATGACTGCTGACACTATTTTAAAGTAGGAGTATTTGAAATAATCTAATGAACTATTTAAACTTACTGGTCAAATTATACACAATGCCATTTCAACTTTTGAAATTTTCTGACACTGTACACAATTTTTCTTTAGTTGCCAATGTCAGTGCTATTATAGAAAGAATCATATAAACTCATTCAGTCACTTTTTAAAAATGAAGTCATGTTCGTTGGCATCAATTGCTTTTTAATATACTTAGAAATCTATAATTTATTCATTCATGTATTTTAATTAATGCTATTTAAATATATTAACCTGGTTTAATCACATGGCCATCATCAATGCTTCCAAATTCTCCTTTCCTTATTTGGCATTCAGGAGGGTAAAATCCTTTGAAACAATGACACCTTTGAAAATTGTTGCAAATCTAAATTAATAAAAAAATTGCCTTATGAAAAGTATCAAATTTTAATGTGGAAATGATTATTTGTACTACAGAAATAAATAACAACAGTAAGAATACCCCCTAATTGTAGCTTTTGGGTAATATTTCCATATAGTTACTCACTAAATATTTGAAACATTTAAATGAATATTTAAAATAGTCTTAAGATTTTATTTGTATGTGCATTTCTATCCTACTTATGCCATACACTGTATATACCTTTTGACAGTGTGACAATCTAAAGGTGCAGCCCTCAAGAAATTGTTAAATCACTCTGAAAAAAGAAACAAACTCTCTTAAACAAAAAATTACCTTTTCAAATCTCATATCAATAGGAAACCTTTATATATGAGCATACATATACAGTGACCTACACTTATGTCCCACATTATCAAAACAAATAGAGACATTTTGACAGTTATTTCACCATAAAATGACCACTATGCAAAAATTTAATAAATATTTTATTGCATCATTAATACAATTCACTATTTCAATAGCTTACACTGTCCTTTCTAGAGTTTTGAACTCTTTATAACTAAATTACCTGATCCTTAGTTGTAGTCCTCTAATTAATGTAAGACCTAGAACTTTTTGTTACTCAGAAACTTATGGATAAAATCACATAGACTTCAGAATTCTATCCTTCAAATGCATTTTATTAACTTTATTCATCAGAAAAATAATTAAGCTCTGAATATGTGTATGTAAGTTATGATCATTTTATAAAGAGGTGACAAAAATAGCCTTAATAGATGGGAGCACCTTACATGGCATGCGGTGCATAATAACTAAGTTTCTGATATTTTTTAAAATTATTTTTTATTTTAATTTTTTAATAGATTGAAAATTGAAAATAAATTATTTACAAATATAAATGAGCATAACAATAAAAATTATCCAAAATAAAAACAAAGAAGGAATTTATAGATCAGTCATAATAGTTCACTGTCAAAACCAAGAAACTTATATTTATATAATTAGAGCTCTCAAAGTAGACAGAAGTAGGCAATAAATATTTAAAGATTTAAAATTTCTGAATTTATTTCAACTTATAATACCATATTTCCAAGAAAAATGAACCTTAGCACAAGAAGTTTAAATAAAATTATACCAAGATACACAAAATTGAAATGTCCAAAACTTATTGTAAAGAAAAAAATCATTAAAGCACATACATAAAAATATTAGCTATGGAAAAACAAAATTAAATAGCACCTTATTCCATATTAGAAATAAAAAAGGGACAAAGTGTGTAAGAAATGAGAATAATTAAAGGACTGAAAGAAAAGATCTGTCCTCTTTGAATTTTATACTTAG